TGTGTCTCCTGAGAAACAATGAAAAGCGCAACCAGGTGGAAGCCACGGGAGCGATCCGAAACACCCAATACGACGACAGGGTAGTCGACATAATTTGTTTTGTATGTGCCATCCACATGTAAAACAAAACACTCCGGGGGCAGCATCATACGGAGCATCAGGGCCTTGGTAGTCAGGCCAACAATGAAAGGACTCTCGTCCGAGCCGTTTCCTACGACAAGCTTGCCATCGCTGTCGTACTCCCACCCAAATGCGAACGGCTGTGTCATTTGTTCAGACCCATTGTAAGCGTGGGTGTGAATCCACATCTTCAACTCTTTCAGGCGGTCATAATTTTCCAAATAGGTCCTCGAATAGTAATTAACAAAGTTCTGGACAGTAGTAAGGGGAGGGAGGTCCATCAAGGAGGTTTCGAACTTCCTAGAGAGCGCCAGGCGGATCCGCATTGGCCGCAAATGCTGGTCAGCCAGTTCTCGGCAGAAATCCTTCTGGGCCTTCGTGAGTTTTTTCTTCTTCGGATCGTCAGCTGCGGATAAATGCTCGTTGTACTCATAAACGCAAACGCAAGTCGTGTCCAGACACGTGACCACTTTGCCTCGGCATGGGCATTTGGTGGTGCTAGTCTCACTGCAAGCCTCCGAGCTGCACTCCAGCAGACGGTAGCGCATCTTGTGCATGCCAACGTGTTGCTCTTTGTAATGTCGAAAGCTTTTATTAGCACGTGGTCAGCGGTGGCTTGGTCAACGTAGATGGCTGTATCTCGCCAGGGTATGCACCTCGGCATATTCGCTCGGGTGGTTTGTGTGGAGGGGGTCAATTAGAATGCAAATCTCTTCTGTCCACACGCATTCGTAGCGAATGCTGGTTGGTTATTAATGTGCACAGACTCCCCTTTCCTGTTCACCTGCAGAAACTGAGCAACTGATCAAGTGCAAGGATTAGCTGTGTGCTGCCACCACAGATTGCTGTGATGTCCCGGGTTTCATGTGTTTCCCTGTGATTCGTGTGCCGAATCGACACTGTTTGCTGCCATTAACGCGTTCTCATTTCGAAGCCTCGAAGACAAATATGTCTTGATATCAAAGCAAGATTCACTGACGTCTGCACTTCTATTTAGGCACTATAGTTTATTGACGCCTAGTCTCTGGCCAAATTCGCTGTAAAACTCTGAGTAGTACTCAGAGTACTCAGTGAGAATAGAGGACTTGTTGTACTAGAACTGTGGCTCTATACTATCGCATAATCGTAGTCCTAAGCGTCGTTCATTCCTAAGAGTCACCAAGAATTGACCAATTAGAACACAGTATTAACAACAGATGGAGCAGCTAATTTTGGAGGAAGTAGGACGTAACTTGTGGTAGAAGACAATCGTCGTGCTAATGCCTAGACCAC